TCCACGCGTAACTTGACTTTACTTCGACTCTGTGGCTCAAAGTGAACAGAAACTGGAGCTAAGTGCCACGCCCACTTCTCGACAACCTACCCTACCCTTCTCTACAAGAGAGAGTTGACAACTTTTTTCTGCTGTCGCCGCGTTGTTTTAGTTTCAGTTTTTTAAGTATAGTTGGTTTTAGTTGCTCCCACGCTATGTTTTCATTTTCCACCATGCTCCTGCTCCTGCTCCTGCTTCTGGTCCTAGTACTGCCTGGTTTTTCCTTGCCATCGTCATGTTGCACAAAGTTAAATGTTCCTGCGCAGCCGGGCGGCACAAATGCGAAATGGCAACAAACAATTTGAAGCAATAAAATAAAGAGAGCATATGAAGTGGGTGGACTAGCGGCAGCTCCAGGGCATAATATCTGGCAAAATAAAAGCGAAATTGAATTGTAAAATTTTTATTATGCTGTCGAGTAGTAGCCCCAGCTAGTCGCACTCGCACTCGCAGTCGAAATCAAAATCGCAGTCGCAGCCATTAGCCCAAGTCTTTTGGCCAGTTTTCAGTTTTAATTCACGTTGCGATTCTGACCAGCAAAACAATGGCCATTCGACAAAAAAAAAGAGAGCTGAAAAACTGGGAAACTACAGCGGTAACTTAATCAAATTGCCAAGTTGCCCTGTGGCGCAGAAACCTCGAAAATGTAATCATGCCAAACTGTGTGATACCCTGTAGCGTAGTGGCATTAGGTTTTTATACGTTCGATCCCGGCAAATCCAATCTACTCGTTGGCAAATCTTTGCCTGCTGCTCTGGCCAACAATTACATGTTTAATTAACTTTTGTTATGACTGGCCAGTCAGCTACTCCTCCTGCTGCTGCTCCTACTGTTGGCTCGTCTAATTAGAAAAGTGCAACAACTGTCGGGCAGATTGCTGAATTAAATAATCCACTGGCCAGGAGGTAGAGGAGGGGTGACCAGAAAAGCTGGAAGCCAGGATGTCAGGATGCGAGATTGCAGTGCGAGAGCTGGGCACTTGCATATACATATGTGGCAGGCACGGCCTGCTGCTGATGCCACATCAAAAGGATGCATGTATCCCCGACTCGACTCGCCTGCACTCCATTCAGCTCGGTCAAATTTTAATTTAGGTTTTGTATGCAAATGACCCTAAATGTTGTATAACAATTGAGAGAGCGTACGAGATTTTTGGCTACATTCTTGGCCGACAAATTGTTATGAATGTGCAAGGATGTCTACTTGTGATTGTGTGCCCAGGGCTTAGTCCTTTAGGCCTGACATGTGCAACTGCAAGTTACAGTTGCCATTTGTGGAACTCTGCCATGGCATCACGTGGCTTTGGAGCCTTAAGCCCTTAAGTTTCGTAGCCAGCATGAGGCCTATACCTCGTCTTCCTTCCTTCTGATTCCTCTATTTCCTATTTCCTGGTATATATATATTAGTGTGTGCCAGGCAAAAGGCTAGTATCCAAGCTTTATGATTAGTGCAGCCAGGAATGGGATTTTCAGGCACTAATTGTCTGGAATTTCTTTGGATCCCTGGTGTAAGTGCACAGGGATTACGAAGGAAATCAATAAGAAGTTATGTGTGCTCTTTGCAGGGTTCTTCCTCTTTAAACTGAATAGTTCTTGAGCTTTAAAATGTAACATAAATATTTGGGGGCTAAAGGAATTTCAATCTATAAGTTTGTTGGTTTTGCCTTTCAGTTTGTTATGAAAATTCCTTTAAAATGTATTTCCTGGAAATGTGTTAGCCAGTTTCCCCACTTTATGATAATCATAAAACATATTTTGAAACTAACTTTGGTCAGGGCGTTCATCTGTTGCTCTTTGCCAGCATAATAAGCGCTTTTAAATGCGCCTGTTTATAAAGTCAGCGACAACTTAAGTATGCAAATCCTCAACAGCGACAACAACTGCCGAAGATTAATGAAAAACTTTGGCATTTTTCGGGAAAATTTTCATGAGCAGAGAATCTGATTTGGGTTTGGTTTTTCGTAGCGGCGAGGGGAGAGGAGGGAGAAAGTTAAATGCCTTAAAGAGAAATGCCCGCCGCCAGGCTCTTTAGCATACGAAACGAGGCAGGACATGCACGAAGGAGCTGACAGGAGCCCGTGGGCAGAGGAGCACTTGAAGGTGGAAGGAGCGTCTGAGTCAACTGTTTATTTATTTATTATGCGGCCAACACTAAACTGTAACTAAAAACAAGATTCCAGCCCGACTGCCAACACATGATGTCTACACATGTCGAGCAAAGGGATCGAAATGCTGGAAAGGGACTTTGGCCTGGCCAAAACATCTCCAGTTGACGTTGACGCCACTTTGATATATTATGCACGCTTGAGGCCAGCAACAAATAATCAAGTATCAAATTCCACACGGAATGCTAACGAAAGCACACACACAGACACAGACACTCAAACACAAGCACAAGCAACCACATAGGCAAAACGATTTTTTCCTTGCCACAAGGGAGAGGGCTAAAATTTGGGGTTCCATCTGCGATGGCTGCCGTCTTAAGCTGTCAGCCAAATGAGGGCAGGCCGCAAATTTGGGAGGACGAAAACGCACACAAAGACAAAGCTTGCAGGTATCCTCTCAGACTGAGTTCCATCTTTAGCTTCAGTTTTTGCACAGGAAAAAACTTTAGATGTGTTCTGGGTTAGAGAGAGAAATGGGGAGTAATTCAGATTGGGAGAATGTAAAGGTAGAAGGTCCTCTTGGAATGTTTTTCTGGTTCCTGATCTTGAAATCTTTTCTGAGTTAAGCTCATATCCTATAATTAGACATTAAACAAAACGAATATTTTCCCAACAGTCAGCTTACAAATCGTGTGATATTTCTTTATTCTTATATATATATTTTTCCCCTGTGTCCCTGTGGCCAGAGTTTATAGCGCGTGTGGCAAATGAACAATCAGGCAGGGAGCCTAGCCACATGGCAACATCTTTCGGCGGCTGGCCGAGCTTGTTTGCCTGAGCCCTTGGCTTCCTCACAGACCTGGTCCGAAGTCGGTCTAAGCCGATTAGCATGGCATAATAGTTGCCAGTTGCCGACAATAAACTTGCCAACTGGACTGGGCCAAAACGGAGTTGTCTGATTTTTCTTGTTGATTTTATTTGGTGAGGGAAGGAGGACCAATGTAGACATAACTTGGCAGTGGAAGTAGGAAAAACGAGGACTTGGTGACGAGGACTCTCACAAAAGCACATGGGAAACTCATCTGGTGCGGGAGACAGAAAATGCCATTCCATTCTGGCCTCTGCATCCTGAGGAATTTGCGTGGAAATCTCTTAAGTCAGACATGGAGATTCGTTGGGGGAAAACTGTTTTGTCATTTCTAGAGACCTGCCTTCGTCTCTGGGTGTCTCTGTCTGTCGCTAGGCATTTGCATTATTTGTGTTCTGTTCTCGCTTTCTCGGTGTGATTTATTAATGTGGTTGGGTTTTATTTCCTTGGCCCGCTAAGCTTTATTTGTTCATTAGTGAGTCTGTCGTGTTGGCGGGATTCGGGTTTGGGATTCGGTTTTGTATTGAAAATAGCATTGGAGGCTCACCGTCTGTGCCCGACTCGATCCCGTTCAATGGGCTTAACCCCTAAGCCAAACAAGGACTGCAAACTCTTTAATGGCTCGCCGCCAGGCTACGAAATGAATTTATCTCGGTCTTTTCACACCGCCTTCATATCTGCGAACTGTCAGCCATAATGAGTGCAAATAAATTTCAAGTAGGCTTAAAATTTTCCACTTTTTCGCCCCGGCAATTGCCCTGACTCTGGCTTTCTCTCTTTCTCTGGCTCCTTGGCATTCAATGTAGCCGCAGAAATTCATATACAAAAATAACACGAGCGATAAGAGGGCAAAAAGTGCCATGAATAACAGCCAAGGGAAATGCGGTCTAAGACGGCGAGCGGAGGGGCAAAATGAATTCTATTTAACATTTTGGGTGAAATTTGCGCAATTTTTTGTATTTACTTTATCACCCGCCCCACCACCATCAAACCCACAACAACTCCCACGAATATAGAAATATCAACAAGATGGAGGCGGACCGAGCCCACTGCCTTTTTGTGACGCACTCGAGGGGCAGATGATAAATGTCCTTGCCAAGCCATGAAATGAATGAAGTATGGCCACGCATTTATGTGTGGCCAAAGGCAAACAGGCCGAGTTTCCCGGCCAAACAAAAAGCATGGAGCGGGAGGAGCTAGCAAAGGAAACCTGACAACAGAAGGACCAAAAATCACAACAAATAGAGTGGCGGCGGCAGGCGGAGGATTGGCGACAGTCACTTTTCCTTTGAAGCCGCTGCCGCTGACGCTGCCTGTGCCGAAACACTTCCACGGATTAGTGGGCCACTCTCCCAGCGGCCAGGACTTTCTGGCCAAAACTTCAGAGCCAATCGCCATGGCCGTGGCCACAAAGGGAGCAAAAAGAAGCTGGGAACATCGAGAAGTGAAAGAAAACTCTTGACAAACTGAACTGAACTGGCGCTGCTTGTCATTCATCGCGCTGTCAGCTCGCTTCCTGCTGCACTGGAATTTTCAGTCTCTGGGGCTAAGTTTCGAGGGAAAGTTTTTTCGGTCAACTACACGCACACGTTGTGAAGGACTTTTTGACCAGCTGAAAGTTGTTTAGGTATTTTTCTTTTTTCTACTCTGCTGTTTTCTTCTTTGGCTTTTTTTTTGCCCCCACTTTTTGGCTCATGCTCTTGGCCCAGTGCTATCCATTCGGAATCTTGACTTTTCCCTTGGTCGGTTCGCCTTACAAAAGCTGATTTTTTAGCTGCTTTGATGCCTTTAACTGTGTACGTTCGTGTTTTTGTATTCATGTTGTGGGCGTGGCAGCAGCTGTTGCCACCGCCCCTTGCGTTTATGCCCGGTCAATCCGATGGCCAAATTGTTTGGGTTGTCCTGGCTTAAAGACCAATAATATTTGTTTAGCTTAAAGGTCGCTTAAAGTAGGTGGTTTGAAAATAAATTAAGTGGCTATCAACTTACCAGCTAAAAGTAACATAAGGGCTGTAAGGAAATGAAAAGAAAGAAGTAAATGATAGTAAATAAATAAGAATTCAACTTAAAAATATAATGTAAGAAGTAAAAATAAAACTTAAATGGAAAGAAGTAACATATTCAGATTTAAAAAGTTTTCCATAACTCAATGCTCTGAGCTTTAAGAACTCTTCCGAATATTTGCCAGGCATAATTGGAAACTTCACAAAGACTTAATACTGAGAAAATTCGATGAAAACATACATTTCCTCTAGTGAGTAGTTACTCAACATACATTCATACAAACTCCCTTGAAGATCCTGTAAATCTGGCGTTAAATCCTTTGCGAAAGTTGGCAAACAGCAGCTTAGATATAGACATCTGAATCGAAGTTTACAGTGCCTGGGCCGAAACTTAACTCATCAGATATGCCTCTAAATAAGCATTTATAGAGCTACGCTGCGGCAACAACTGACAACAAACTTTTGCCCCAAAAAGCAGCAAGAACATCAAGAACAGAAAATAACAAAAACAAGAGCGGCAAATCGGAGCGGCAAGCCAAACATAATTTCCAAGTTTCTGGCCAAAATGTTGAGTAGGTTGTTTTCATAGAAATGCGATAAATACTTTTGCTAGTCGGCCAGCTTAGCCGGAACTAGGAGTATGTACTCCAGAGGAAGTGGTGGCGTGTGGCTAAGTTAACTTGGAAACATTAAAATGCCAAAGTGAAAAGTTTCTGGTAGATGGCTGGCTGACTGGCGCAACAACGAAATTCAATTGAAAACATATAAAATCTGAATTTATGAAGACCCAACATGGCCAACATGCACCACCACACCAGCAATTTGCGTCCATTTTCGGAAACTTTGGCATCAAAAGGCCGAGCTGGCAAGTGGAACAATATGCACCCAGGACCTCGGGCGTTAAACCGCTGCAATGGCAGTCCGTTTGTTTGACTTGGACTTTGGCTTTGACTTCGAGTTGTGGGAGTTGGTCTGGCCATGCCCTCGAGTTACATTCAGAAATGGGCCCACATGGCGTATGCATGATATCCTCCACTCGTTTCGTTGGGTTAATTGAGATGGAAACTGAGCTGGCCAATCCCGATAGATAACTACTTTCAGACCTGTGTCCGCTCTTTCTTTGCCGCTGACAGGCCTGTGAACTTGGCCCAATGCTAATGTACAATCTAGTGGCCGAAACTTTTTGGATGGCCCGAAAAGTTGGTCAAGTTTGTTTCGCTTTTCTGTGGCTTTCATCGAAGTCTTGGGCTTATTTATTGGCCACATTTTATTATTTGCCAACGAAAGTGATGGCCTGGTAGGACTTTTCTTGTTGTTTTCAGGCAAAAAAACATCTGCCAACCGCTTCGATTAGAAGAATTTCGTGAAACCGCGTATCCTCTTTCAGCGAAATCAATTTCAAATCCATAACAATTTGGCATAATTTGCACGCATAAAACCGAAAATTTCATTTGCTCAATAATGCAGCGACAAAAGCCTCGCTTTGTCATCCCACAAAGGCAAACGCAAACGCAATTTTCTTTACACACAATAAACTTTATGTTGATCGAATAAAAGTTGCGTCAGGCCCACGCACACATGAGCACGCACTCACACATACAGCCACTCGCTCACACACACACACATAGACCAGCCTAATGGAAAGCAAACTTTTCATTTTAAATTAACTTTCGAGCACAAAGGAAAAAGAGACACACATTATCAGTTCGATATGGCCAACGCAAATTGTTCATTTAATTTTGGTTCAATCGAAATAGTTTTTATTACAGCCGTTACAGCGGAATCTACATATATTAAAAATAAACCATCAAAGCAACTCTCACCGAAGCGGTTTTATTGCAATTCCCATTGCCTTTTAATGGTATTCCATTGAAATGGTGAACTGTTATGAGGTGACATAGTAATCATTCGGTTTTAAATAATATTGTTCTTAGGGTTGCAAAAGTTGCATTTAAATTGTAAATTTATTTTTAAATTTTAAACTGATATTTAGTATTTATAAAATAAAAAATTTAGATTTCAGATATCTAAAATTATGGTAAAGATCGGAGTTAATTTATTGATAACCAAGATTGTTTTTTATTTTTTTATCACGTGTTTGAAATTGTATATTTTATAGAGAGCTATAATTACGATTTTTGAAATACAATTTATGGCAGAAATTATGTTTATTTCGGTAAAGGTTACAGTGTCTGCTCTAAAACCAAAAAATCCCACAAAACATAATTAATTTCTTCTACTAAATTAGTTAACTTTATCAGCTGATAAAATGGAGTTTCCCGAATCTCATAACTTATTTTTAAGATCAGATAAAAATAAACATATATATATATATTACATATAGTTTCAATATTAATAATAAAACTGCCAACTCACCGTTCTCCTCCTCGATGTTCCTTGTCATCGTCGTCGAGGAGCTGACGCGGACGCGTGTTGCCCCCGCCGCTTGGCCATTGAGAGCGGACAGGACGAGCAGGCAGAGCGGCAGGGAGAGCGAGCGGCTGCAGGACCTGCTCATGATGATGACCCAGCCCTCGATCCTGCAGGTGAGATGAGGTCAGCGGACAAGGGAGACTGCAGTGGGGCAGGGGCTGTGGTTGCCGTTTATCCTGGTTGTACTTTGTTGCCTACTTTCCGGCTCAGAAACCTTTCACACTTTGCACTGCGAGCATTTCTCGTTGGTGGTTCTTTCTCGCGAATTATTTATGCTTGAATTCGATTTAAATTATTTCGCAAATGCTGTAAAGAGTGAGATAAAGAGAGAGAATGGGAGTTGAAGAGAGGCAGACAGAGAGAGGTAGTGCGAGGTGCAGTGGCAGAGTCAGCAAAATTTGTTGACATGTCAATAAATAAAGCAAAACAAAGGCAGGCAAAATAAAATACATTTGCATGCAATTTTTTGGGTAATTACAGTTTGCTGTTGTTGCTGTTACTCCGGTTGAAAATTCATTTAATTGCCTTTATTTTTGGTTTGGCAAATTTGTAAGCAAATTCATTGCACTTTCGACTGGCCAACACACGCACTTGCTGCCCTCACCGACATACATATAGACATGCAAATGTAATTTATGTGATTTTTGCAAATTTTATTGGGTTAATTTGTTTGTTTTTAATATTTATGGCAATTGTAAACGAGCGTTATTTATGCGCCCCGGCAATTGTTAATTCACGTTGCGAAATCAAATCGAATTACACAATCAAATGCAGCCCAGTCGTAGATGTAACTTTAAGAGCAATTAAACTAAATGAAATGTATCTTCGGGGGACAGCAACAAATCACAACGCATTTAGCCATTTTGTCAACCGCACGACAGCACGTACACCTCAATATTTTAAAACATATTTCTGTCTTCCGCTGCGAGGCTCTTTTAATTAAAGATTATTTATAACTCTCAGCCCCAGAGAGCGCGCGAACAGTGAGAAATCATTTCGAATGCCGCCTGCGTACATATTTGTTATAATTTATGTGGCCCATATAAATGACTAACAACACACGACGACGACAACGAAGATGCCAACTTCCATCTTCCTGCTCTCAGCTCCCAGGAGTTATATATGGGGAAATGGCCGGGAATCGGGCAAAACATGTGCCAAAGTATCCGCGCGTGTAGATCTTTAAGAGGGGCAAAAGCGGAGGAGGAGCAGGCAGAAGGCATAGAGGGACTCCGACAAAAAGCCGGAGGAACGTGCCAGCATCAAAGTTCAATATGACGATGATGGCACTGCCAGAAGTCGGTTCCCGCTGAAGAGCTAACGAGTGCAAATTTCTCTTCGGATTTCTGGTTTTTTTTTTCCTTCGTCTCGGTCTGGCAGTGCTTTTACTTTTACGCTGAGAAAACCCAATAAACGGTAAACAGGAAAGCGGAAATCGGAAACTGTACACGCTCATGTTACTAGACTACACACAGACTGGCTCAAATATCAAGCACTGAAAGAAAAGCAGTTAAAGAGTAATACTTCAAAGTAAATTTTATACTATATATCTAACGATAAATAAGGTAACAATACCTTCCTACCTAATATAATATTAAAAAGATATCTTACTTAAAACTTTAATAAATAAAAGTTAAAACTAAATCAAAAGGAAACTTTAAAGTTTCAAAGTGTAATATAATAAAAATCGTATAAAATCTTTTTCTATATTTGTTTTCCCTCTGTAAAACCCCTACATGCACACCCACAAAGCCAGGACTTCGATGCGACGTGCTTTTATGATATATTGACTAGCTCTAGCTGGATTTTTATCGATGGCATTACAGGGGCCAAATGCTTTTAGCTGGCTGCACTAATTTTATTTCAGCACCCAGTCGGCGGCCTAGGCCCAAAGTTTATATTTATTTTCGCCACCGACCTGAATATAAAGTGAATAAAACTTTACCGACTAGTGTAACCTCACAGCCGCAGCTGACAGGCGGTGGAGTGGCCACTTAATCATGTTGTTTTTTTTTTTTGGGGGTTTTTAAAGCGGCGTTAATAAATCTGTCTAAATTTATTTACAATGCATGCAGAATGCCTGCAAATGGATTTCCATTCCGATAAAATGAAAATATTTGTAAATCGTTAGTCAATATAGCACGAATGGGGGCCAAGATTAAAATGCTTTTCATAACGAAAAACCACGTCATGGAGTGCTAAATAAAATATCCAAACACCCAGCAATGAAAATCTAATCGAAAAATACCAAAACATTCTGCAGAGATGCAGTTTTGATTTGGTTCTCAAATTGAATCGAGAAATGAAAGCTTTAATTAAAACGCAACGTGAAATAAATGGCCGAATGGAGTTAATTAAATTTACATACCAAATCGAGTGGCTTTAATGTTTGGCACAGATCCGACCATTTCAAGTTGGCCTCGAAATTAAATATGAGCCACTCAAAATCCATTTACCCAGGGCCTTGCCAAAGTTTGGCAAATCAGTTTAGTGAATGGGTTATGCAAGGATAAAAACTTGTGTGCAGCCAATAAAAAGCGCTCCCAATAAAATGTGAGTCACATTAGCTAATGCAAACTGTGGGCCGAAGGTGAAGGGTTCGTTCTAGAGGGAGTACACGCTGCGTATACGTAACCTCGATGGGCATGTACCTGTGAGTGAGTGTTCGTTAGTTTGGCTCTGGTTATATCCGTATAGGTGTGTGTGTGTGTGTGTAAGGGAGCATTGTGCCAGTTTCGCCATTGAGGCATCCACCTACGATCGACATGCACTTCAATTTACAAACTTGCCAAGCCAGCAGGTTTATATATGTATGTATGTATGTACGATTATATGTATATGTATGAGTGGCGGTGAGTTTTCCGGCTGCAGCTGCAGCAAAGTGTGTCGACGTTTTTCCATTTCCGGCATGCAAGTTTGCCTTCGACCCACAGCCCCCTTTATTTTCTGTAATGTAATGAAGTGTGTTTGCATTAAAATGCAATTTGAAGTGCAAAGTTACAATATTATTATGGCATCTATAAGTGCAGGGAGTGTGTGGGTGCATCAGGAGAGCCCTTGAGCAGGATACTCCTGAATGTGCTACCTGGTCCTGCCACTTTTTTTCTGTTTTTCTCGCGGTTTATGTGCGCTAAGTGAGCCTATAAAAAGCCATGCATGGCTGCCTCGTTTCGCAAGGGTTCAAGTGCAATTTTATGAATACTAAAAATTCTAATGGCCGAGTGTGTGTGTGTGGCTGTGGCTGTGGGGCAGAACTGGGCAGTAATCAGAGCGTTCAACACTTGGCGCCATCATCATCATCATCATCATCGTCATCCTCCAGCATCCCAACAGCTGTTTCCCATACTGCTAGCCTGCTAATTGTGCGCTGCATACTTGGGTGAGCCTGCCAGCTTGTTTGCATTCCAACATTAAACATTAAACACACACACTTCTTAGCACTTGGAAAGGAATGGCCTTGTCAATCTGCACACCCACCAATCTTCGAGAGCGTTTTGATATGCAAATAAACGCTCGGTCTCCAGCTGTCCGCAGCATTAATTGCATATTAAAATTCACTTCTACTCGCATTTCCATTTCCATTCCGAATTGATGCACTTTGTTCTCAGTGGCCCCAATAATTTTGTTTATGTTGTATCGTGTGTCGTTTATAAATGGCTTTTGTCGCCAAATCGCCTGCTCATTGTTCTACTCAGCTTGCCTGCTGGTCTGTCGAATTTGTGTCAGAATTCGTAATTAATGTTCGGCACAGCGAATAAATGAGTTTGATTATGGACCACAATGGGAACAACAGCGATTCGGTTGCGAAATTTGAAACAATGCTCTTTTATTGAATTGGCACATATGCTTAGGGGATGTGGTAAGTAAGACAAGGTTATTGAAAATGACTGGAAGGTTTAGTATAAATAATAATTGGAAATCATTTTGGCATATTCGTGTTTTGTAGGAAATTTATGCAAATTATCAAAGCTAAGATTTGTCAACTGGAAAATAAATCGATAAATTCGTTTTAACAAAGATTTATTGTTATCAGAAAAGAGGATTTGGTTTATGAAAATAATAAATATTATTTTGTGACTATAAATGACTGACTGAGAGATAAGAGATAACTATAATTATAGAATGATTAAGAGTTTTTAATAATAAAATGATATCTTAAAGAAGAAAGAGTGTAAGTCTAGAAAAGTTATTAAGGAAAAGTAAAATATTTAACAACTTATTAGCTTCTATCTAACAACTTCCAAAACTAACAAAGTTTTCTCAAACTAAAGTCCTAAGAAATTAAATTATTTCATTCATTCATTTCCTTATATCAAGTTCAACTCAATTCCAGTTTAACTCAATCTCCCTCGATCTGATTACTTATCCCATTTAGTTAGTCAAATGGAAGCCAGCCAAATCTGAGCTATAAATTCACACCTCCTTAGATGAATGATATCGCCATCATCTTAATCTTAATCAGTCGTAAAGGTCCATCAATGTTTTTCCCTGCAGCTTATCGTGCACATTCAATTTGGCCATCACCAGAGCAGCCTCCACTCAGCTTGCTTTGAAGTGGCATTCATCTGTGTAATTTCATTACACGCACACTTCAGCAATTTAGCAATTTAAACAAATAAATGCATGTTCTTGGGTGGAGAGGGGAGTGTCACTAATATATTTATCTATTAGTTTATGGCTCGCATTTCACTGGCTCTTCTGCACTGAGCCTTAATGGCCGTCAAAGGCCAGCAATTTTGCACTTATGTGTGCGAATGCCATGAAATATGATGGCATTTGCAGGGCCACTACATAAAGAGAAATGTCGGCACATGCAAACAGGAAAAAAAAAAATAACAAGAAAAACTAACATTATAAATAACTAAAATGCTCAACAATAACCATTTTCGTGCAATTTGTACGAGCTGCTAGCTGGGAACAACAAAAAACTATTTTAGCAAGCAAAATGAAAGAAATCCGAAAAAAAGCGATAAAACGAGCAGCTGAGCGGGCAAATCGTTTTATCTGCCGGCTTCTCTACAAAATGCACACATTCTACACACTATATATATGTACAGCTATATAGATATAGATATAGAAGCACACCCACTAAGCTAGCAAAATAATCCAAACGAGAACGACGACGACGCCACTCGGTTTTCGTGCGCTTTTCAATGGCTGTGCTTGCCGTGGAAATGATTTTCATTGAAAGCAAAGTTTCGGGGGCATTGCAGTCAGATCAGAGTCGGATCTTTTTTAAATGGCCGAACCTTGATTCGCGAATTCAACGTCACGGCAGCAGCAAATTGCTTGTCAACATCGAGAACAATAACTAGAATACAAGAACAACATTTGGCAGCTGCTTACATTGCGAACAAGTTTCGGCTTGTTGGCTGAGGAGTGTGTTTGTGTGAGTTTTCCTTTTCGCCGCGAGACTTTAAACGCACTTTTCTCCACTTATTTTCAAGTTTGGAATTCTCTAGGTTCTAAGATGGGCACATCGTACTTTATGGCTTTGGATTCATTTCCACACTCTTTGACTTTTCACACAAATTTCCCGTTTTTCTTTTCTTGGATTCTGGTTGATGATTTTGGATGCACGGTTTTTGCTCAGCTCAGCTCTCATGGGCTGGAGATGGCCGGAAAACAATTCAAATCGCACCGTTTCGCGATACACCGTTAAAGTCCCGTTAGTTCCGACCGTACCCGCGGGATCGCAAACTCTCACTGAACCGATTTTTATGGTACACACGCTGGAACCGAGAAGCTCGTCCAGCACACAGCCACTCGGCACGGATGCTGGCCGAGCCGTTCGTATGAAAGCCGAGCGGAAAACGCTCACAACCGCCCAATAAGCGATACGAAGAGAAATGCTGCCGAGAGTAAAATCTAGAGATTACATTACCACGAAGATGCCACACGACGTGGTGGATGCTGCCCTATAACAGAGCTCTGTTAACGCGGCTTGATGGTTTTATAGCACGCTTTCGGGCGAAGTAACTGTTACTATTCATTGGGAGCCAGAAATAATCTAAGTTAATATTTAATTTATGGATTTTAGTTAGTAATATTTAATATTTTTAAAAATAAATACTATAAATAGCACACATCATGTATCCTGCAGTTGGATTATGGCAGCGGTTAATCTTGTTTACATTTCAAATTAGCCTGCGGCATTTCTCTGGCTCTCTCAATCTCACTTTCTCTCGGCTTGATTTACTGCTCTCGGGATTTTTCTCTGGCGCAGCTTGTACTAAAAAACAGCTGATAGGCTTGAGCTAAATTTTACTTCAGGTTTTAAAATGTGCAGATTAAGAAGTTACTGTATAAGTAGGAAGTTCTAAGGAGGTTCTTAGAAAGTAATAAGTAATTATTAAGATTAAAGTAAGTATATTTTTACCATTTATACAAACTTGTATGGTTAACTTACTTGGTTTCCTTTTTTATTATATTTTCTTTTAAAATTTTAGAGATACTTCTAATAATTTATGTTATAAAGACTATAAACTAGAAGTCTATACAGAGAAGTCGTTCTTAAAGCCATCCATCATTTATCAGCAGCATTCAGACATCAATCATCAGCCCACCTGTTGCCTGTTAACTGATATGAACACATGCCCATCAATCAAAAAGCAAGGACTTGGTTACCACTAAAAAAAATCTTCCCAAAAATGAACTTAGAATTAAATATACAAGTTAATTTTATAATTCCTACCCCCTACAATTTATTAACAAACCCAAATAGGTTAATAAACAATTTGTTATGCCATCTTACAGAGCTCTGTAATCAACAGAACTTACTCTTTTGCCTTAACAGAGAAAGAGAGTAAATTCTTAAGAGAAACCTACCAATAATCTGTCCAAAAAAATGTGTGCCAAATTTTCAGACGCCTTGTTGAGCTTTTTATGGCTCTGTAAGGCTATGTTAACTGGCGACTGTAAGTAGGCCAAATCAGTCAGATGTAGGTGAGAGTCCCTCTGGGAAGTCCCTGCCCAGAACTAAGAAATTATACTGCTCTCTCCAAACATATCCTCTAAAAAGATCCTTAATTTAGTACTCCCCACCGTTAAAGTCAATTTCCACTTCCACAAATGTTGGTCAACTGTTTTTTATCAGCTCATAAACATGGCGTACAAGTTCATTTCGGTGTTAAAAGCGTGTTCACAGCCACACACATGTGTGTGTGTGTGAGTGTCCGTTTTACAGCTGCAGCAGCACAACACACACTCACACACACTCGGTGGCTGACATTTTTAATAGCAAACACAACACGCAGCGACTTTCGCACATGAAATAATGCCAGCTGAAGTAGTAAGTAGTCCAGCCGGAACCGAACCCAAACAGATGACGCACCATGGAGCAGGTATTTGGAGATAATGGTTAAATTATATGTCCTTACTATCTATAGTTCCTAGTACATGAACATATTTGAACTACAAAGACTAACAGAGAACTAATAAACGGACCTAACAAAGTTTAAACATAACACTCTTATATGATAATATTCTTGGAATATATTGGTTAAGCCTCCGATTTCGAGATTAAATCTGAAAGGATGAAGTCAGTTAGTGATTTATTATCTGATCTGATTTTGATCTATCCGACATAAGACCCTTAAAACATATTTTATTAAAAGTTAATATGATTATTTTCTTAAATATTTCCCAATATCCTCCACTGTGCCAGTACACTTTCCACGCTTGTTGCCTTTGTAGTTGTAATGAAAGTGTTTTTTATGAAGTGCTCGCATCCTCGTACGCAACATGCGTGTCCTGATCCTGCTGCTGGTGCTGCTGTTGTTTTTGCTTTTGCTTCTGCTGCTTCTTACAATGGCCAGTGAAATATGACAAAAAGCATGCTACAGCTTCGCTATTTCCGTAGTGGTTGTTGTTGGTTTTTGTTAGCGCTTTAATAGCGAGAAGAAGTCAATGGCAAAGCGACGACCAGCCAAAGGAGTCGCCTGCTCCTGTTGTTGGTAAACTGTGTGAATAGTGTGTGTGTTTGTGTCCTATATAGTGTGTAGCGTGTGTGTCCGCAATAGCAATAAAAATATATTTTACAAACTGCTGCTGCTGCTGCTTCTGGGAAACTGCTTAGGATTTTTCCTTTTTTGTACCGCTGTATTGTTAGGGTTTTCCTTCCCAGTCTCGTTTTTTGCTGCTGCTGTTTGATATATGTAGAGCGGCTAACAAGAACACCCACCCAAAGCCCTTAGCCACCCACTCACACACACACGCACACACATGCAAAACAAGTTCGCTACAACAAATTATTGGAAACCCAAGAAGTTTTCTCCGCTGCTGCTGCTGCTTTTATTTTCCCCTAACTCGTATGAAAAAATATTAAAAAAAGAAAGCGAAGAGGAAAAAAAGTAAGAGAGAACGAAAAGCAGCGGGGGAAAATCTCGCATAAAAAATACGAAAATTGTTCCAAAGTTAGCAAGCCAACAACAAGCATATAAAATGTGTTTTTGCCAGAGTTTTCCCGGCGTTCTGATTACATATGTATGTGTGCAGTTTTGGCCGGGGCCCCGCCACTAAAACGCGTTTTGCTTAACGCGCTCGAATCGTTTTTGGTTTTCTACTGCCACTGCTCCTGCTCCTTTCCCTGCCCTTTTTCACTACTAAAAAATAGAATCTCTCTTGGCTGGTTCGGTTCTATTTGGTTATGGGCTTCAGTTTGTGTCAACCATAACGATTTTCTTTTCAATTTAGCTTTAGTGCGTATTTTGTTCTAATTTTATGGCTCGTATTAAAATATTTCCCTCGCACCAGTCCCGAAGTGTTTCCTCCTTGGAGTGCCCTGTTAGCACACAATTTCTAGCCAACACTTACATTCAAAAATCCTTATTCACAAAAATCCTATATACATATTTATATTGCGTATACGCCATGTCCGCCTGCCTCCTTCCGATTCCCGAAATCATGGTCGCCTGATAATATATTTTTTATGATATTTATGGCTCTGACATTTTGCTTAGCTGGCAGGCGATTTATATTTTTTGGCCAACTCTTTTCCATTTTCCGACTGCCTTCCCCTTGCTCCTTCCCCTTCCTTCCATGGCATTGTTTTAGTTTTCCTTTTTATTTTTTCTTTTTTTTGTTGTGCATTTTTATGTTCCATTGTTGTTGGCATTTGCGGCTGTTTATTGTTTGTGATATGAGGCAGATCCATGGTCATTCAATGGATTGTCATATTGTGGCAACGTCCTCTTTTTTTATGCCCGCACACGTTTCGACGGCTTTTTATGGCCCCGAAATCCACTAATACACGGGTATTATGCAGATGCTACTGGGCATAGCTCTGAATAGATTCCAAATATTTGCAATATATAAAATAAGCTGAATACATTTTCCAATTGAAGCCAAAACAAACGGTCAACTTTTGTTCATATTTAATCGGATTCTTGAATATTTTTAGCTCGTTAACTTTTCATGTGCACTGGGAAGAAAATAGGCTAAGAACTGGTGGATTAAGCCATGGCTTAATTGGAATTTGAATTATCGAATGAAAGAAAGGAACACAGCTTATGGAAGATTCCATAAATATGAAATCTATATGCGAAAAACTGTCTTCTTTTAAGTTGAATCACAAATTATTCTTTAAAATTGTATTTAAGGGAAATCTCTCTTTGTAAGCTTTATTTTTAAACATTTAAGAGGAAAACATTTTAAAGTGTAAGCAAGAACATATATTTTGTTTGGCTGTTGTCTATACCCAGAAATTATTTTGGGAATTTTTCACACAGTTTGGGCCAAAATGTTTGTCTGCCACTTTGGGAGTTAGAAGACCAAATGGGAATGGGCCTGCTGGCTAGCTGGCTGGCTGGTTGGCAATTAAAATAACCAACAGCAGCAAGGACAGGAACACGAACAGAAACAGGAACAGGACTGAGCTCAAGTTTGGGTCGAACAAGTTGCTTTCGGACACTTCAGAAATGAAATGAAATTGTTTAAATTTAATTCAATTTGCTGGCTGTGGAACAACAAATTGCCGTCGCACAGAGATGCAAACAATCTCCAATCTGGGAATTTGGAATAAAAATATGCAGAAATAGTTCAAGTGCAATGCCATTTGAAGTCCTTGTCTGTAAACAAAGTGCGAGTCTGCGAAGGCACCTCTCGCTCTCTCCCTTAGTTCTGTTTAGTTGGGTGGTTAGTGGGTGGATATCTATATACCTATATATATATGTTGGCCTTGCTGCATATTGCCAGTTAGTTAATTATTGAGCCACCAGCACGTACATACAGCTTATGCACGAGTGTGTGGCATCTGTTTGCCAGTGTCTGGGTTTAACTTAATTAGAGCGCAGCTCTGCATTTGCGGTCTTCATTTAACGCAGCGTCATGGCCTCCAACCATCCGCCATACGCCATCCGCTGGCCAAATCCCCATAGCACCTCACCTGAGTCCATCTGCCTTGGGATCTTTTCTCCCGGCCAATTCCTGTCCCCCCATCCCGATCCCACTGCCCGGTTGTCTGTCTCCGCGGGCGCAAATTTAAAACTGCATACAACTATTTCCGCCAGCGCCGGAGGCTGCCTCTCCGATGTAGCCAAACGATTCACTCTGTTTATTTGCTTTGATACCCTGGAAAGGCTGTCTTAACATGAACTTCATGGCTTTAAATGTTGCTTAATAAAATATACCTCAGTTGGGATCTACTAGTGGTAAGCTAAAGATCTTCACTCAAATCAAAGAAAAAT